GAAAAATGAAGAAATGAAGGAAAATAAAATAAAAATTACATTTTCTAAGACGCCATTAAAAAATTCGTTTTAAAATTAAATTCCTGTCGATTGTAGCACAGTATTGCTACGTACGTTAAAAAATTAAATATTCTTATATTGCATTTGAAATACCATAACTTGTGTTCATAATTATTATGTGCTAAATCGATTTTATCGTTTCATTTTGGAGGATCAGGACTTCGAACTGGTATCTCTTGTCCTGTAGAACAGCGGTAGTGCCAAAATAAACCTATGAATTTTTAATTTCTTTAGAATATTTTCACCAAATATTTTTTGGTACTTTTTCATAGATCTCCTTCAAGTGTGTTTCAATATTGAAAAATGATCATCATTAAATATTTCTGGCGTGGATATAACAACAGTCATTTCGAAACCTAATGACCGTTCGCTTTTACATCTTTGTGTCCAATTGCAATCAATCGATAGCTTGCAGGACGCCGTCTATTTTTTCGCTTCCTGCATGAAAAAAATATTGTCGAGTACTCAATTTATTATGTTTACAAGATGGGCTACCAGAATATGTTTTTTATTTCCCTAAAAGAACTATTAAGAAATTCTTTCGAACTTTTTAAGAAACCAGGACTGTGGGCTATCATTTTAGGAATAATAAGACTCGGCTAGGAAAAAACTATAGATGAAATATTCCTTTACGATACGAATTTTCTTGCTCTTTGTGTTGACTAGCCCAACCTCTGTTGTAGTTAGCGTCCCTTACCGGATATTACCTTTTTACAAACTCATTACTTTTTCTTTTCTGTATAACTTAAAATGTGTAAGGAATTGTGATGCTGATAGTGTTTTGTTGTTGTTGTTCGCGGTCTCGGTGGTGAAGTCAGTGATATTCACATTTTAATTCTCGTTGCCTTTATTTAGCGTTTTATAGTGAAGTAGTAATGCGGACATTTCTGCCTCGTAAGAAGGTTTTGAAGATGAGGTTTATAGGTTGGCTTTATAGCAAAGGCGCGTCGCAGCATTGCGCTGAGCGAGTCCCAGAGGACAGATACTTTAAAGTCTTACGCGCCAGAAGCCCCAGATATTGAATCTCAGCAAACATTACCACCCACTCACGTTGTTGAGAAGGAAATGGTGTCTTCATGCGAGGCAATTATTGATGTGTGTCACTCCCTCTTCACAATTTCATTTCAATTAAAATGTAAAACTTTACATTGTAGGATAATTCTAAAATTAAAAACTGTTTTTTTTTTACGCCGTCGATAAATTTTATTGCATCATGTTAATATTTAGGGTGGTTTCGAGAGCATGTCAACGACGAAATGAACAGTCATAAACTGTATTTAAAATGGATTTCTGTTAAAGACAGTTGCCATAAATTTAAACGTGACAGATAGCTCCAAATAGTCTACAAAAATTTAATTATATAGAACTCCATTGTTAAAATTAACTATATAATGGAAACATTTATTTTCAATCTCGCCTTTTAATTAAAATTCTTGAGTAGTGGCGTCAGTAATAGGTCACTCGGAGGAAACCTTCTCCTTTTTCCATCATAAGGGTCCTATCCGTTTCAAGCAAGGCTTGCAAGCCACTTTGGGATGAACGCGACTGCCCTCCAAAGAGGAAAAATCCAAGTATGCGCAAGCAGACTGAGAACATTGCTTAGTGCTTTCAATGGAATAAAAAGACCCCCCCTCCCGAATATTTTTTTAAAAAAATGTTAATTCGTTCACAAATTTGAAAAGGAATCTTGTACTATAAGGTACTTTAAATATATTTATATGCCCTACATTGAATTATGACATAAATATTAAATTTTACAGTTGCAAATTGAAAGATTCCAGTTTTATTTTTTTAATTGTTGCTCAAAATTTCAAAACTCTTAGAGGGAGTTCTATAAATTGTATGTTCTTAGCTCAGAGCTCCTTCGGATTTCAATACGTGTCTGGCTGCGATGCAGATTTAAACCAACGCTATGCAGGCTTGCACAGCTTCGGCTTGATGCGTGGAGTGGCCCTTTAAGAGGGCAGTCAGGATTCACAGGCAAGTCAGACTCGCCAGCTTCACGTTGAGTGTGGACGAGGGCCCTTTAATTCGGACTATTCACTGGCAAGCCAGGCTTGCAAATTCGACAGTTTTACACGGGCGCCGCCGCAGGCCTGTCAAGCCAGGCTGCCCGTGAATAACCCGCCTTTACCGTCGCGCCTGCCACGTGTACTAAACCCCTGCGCGGCTGCGGCGCGGCAGCGGCTGGCTGCGGCGAAGCCCGCGTGTCGTGCGCGGCGGCGGCCGCGTGCTGGAAACTGCGCGTGCGCGCGTGGCGGCGTGGGCGGCGTGGGCGGCCTCGTGCGCGGCGGCGCGTGCGGGTGCGGCGCGCCGGGCGGTGCGGCGGCGCGCCGAACGCCGCGCCCAGCGACATCGAGTTGAACGCCGACAGCTGCTGCGAGTTGAGCTGCTTGCGCAGGCGCGCGCGCCGGTTGCTGAACCACACTTGCACCCGCGCCTCCGTCAGCTTCGTCCTGCGCACAGCCGAGCCGCCGATCCTGTCAGAGCGGGCACGCTGCAGGGGGTGGGCGGGCGAGGGGAAACGTGCGGCTGGACTTGGCGTTTGGGGTGATTGGCCAGGGGTCAAAAAGTATTCGCTTCGTAAGGGCAATACACTAGGTGTTTTTCGCGGCTAGGAATGGTCGTAGTGAAGTGAAGATAAGCGGTTTTCAGTTAAAACCTTCTTGCAGAAAGCTCTCAAAGAGGTAATACATTAGGACCTGCTGCATCACATTTCGCGTCATAAAGCACACCATATTTTATATATAATTTTGCGTAAAAAATCGAATATTCTTCTGTAAATTTACTTTACTAAATTCATAAAACATTGACATTTTCTTTAAACGCGAAATACGAAAATTCGTATCGAATGTTGAATTAAACAATAGACATGCAAATCCGAAAAAAAACATTGCTTAGAGCTGTACTGTATGTCTAATGGTATATTTTTATTTACCGCATCATATTTACTTTTAGAACCAGAAACTACTTCTTCACACCTAACCATGTCATTTGACACCTCGAAAATTGAACTCGACGTAAAGGACATAACCCTCTTATAGAGAGGTTAAAAAACAACTGTGTCTTGTTCCTCGGAAAGTAAAGTACTGATTGAACTAAGTATACATCTTCCACAAATATTTTAAATGAATAAGGTACCAGGGACGGGGACACATTTGGGATCATGAGTGCGATAATATCGCAGGAATGTGTAATTCTTTATTTGCATAACTAAAAAATTCGTGGATGCAAGTAAATGTATTCGATGTGTTGCAGTTGTACTTTCTTACTCCAATTTCATGAAAGTGATTTTGATGCTATTTTGTGATAGGAAACACAAGATTTTGAGTTATAATAATTTAATATTTGAGGAATAAATGGCACGTAAGTACAAAAACCGACAACGCCCTTCTTGGGTACGTGTGAATTGAACTTATTTTATACAAAGTTGGAATTGAAATATAAAATGTTCACTTGCGTTCCCGAAAAATGGACTCTGAAAATTTCATTACAGAATTTTGAATTGCTTCTTGAAAATAAAATTATTATTATTAGATTAAAGCTTCTGAATAATTTCTAAAAAATGTCAAATGGCTGTTCTTGACGGCTATAGCGTATTCGTTGAGTTTGTGGAATCATCTGTAAGTTATAAATTTTGTTAACTTGTAATTGTGATGTTTTATGCAAGCGTAAACCATCACGAAACACCTTGAATGCAATAAAATATTCATTAGTCGATATTTTCCTACGAATGCTATAGTCAGTTACCGTAGTTTGTCATCAACATCATTTTAGTGTTGTAGCACTTTAAGAAAACCAATAAATGGGGAGTGTAGCGTTTTCTCAAAATTTGTATTAAAGAAATAAAGGTTTGCTCCCAGTTTACTTGTAATACTTTTCAAAGTTTTCATAATCTCATAAATTCAACACAGCGATCCATTTGAAACATCATGGAGCCTAACAACAAGCTTCCATCCTTGCGAAATCTTTCAGCAAGAAATAATCTCATAAATTCAA